CAGCTTTTCTCAGTGAATAAACTTGGCGACAGGCTGATATGTTGGGTATAACATCGAAATGTAAGCTTGTATCTTTACTAAATACGTATTATCAATAAGCCCTAAAGCAAATTATATTTGTTCCTTACCCAATGCCCGTTACGCTTGAATAGACAAGTGCGCAGTTGTTTTGATGCAAAAAACAAAATGTTCTGACGGAGTGGCGACTCTGGTGGCAAGAATTGCAAACGAGGCTTGGTGACGCTTATGGTGGGGTCTGGAGGAATCTGCATTAGGTGGGAGTCTGGCTTCAGTTGTCGCAAAGATTTAATAACACTAAATTTAAGCCTACTTTATAAAGAATGATTGCTTTACATTGTTCTCTATCATTGCTAGCTGCACAGATTATGCTGCAATAAATTGTATTACTGTTAAATAAAATAGAGTTTCATTCCCGTGAACTTTAACGGATTATGCTGCGCTATTGTTATATAATAATACACAACGATATAAAACCACCTGAATAATTTGCAGAACGTAAGAGGTAGCCACTGTTATGTACATTTTACGCATAATGGCAACATGGCCTGAGATAAGGAGCAATGTTTTTCTTGCAGTCGTTGAAAAAACAAATTCTTCTATGTTAACCGGCACTCAACATAGACAAGGGAGTATATGAAACACGGACATAACAAATTTATCAGTACACGCTTGTGTTACGGAAACTGCGTCGCATCTACAAATAATGAGCCTATTTCAAATAATACGAATATAAAATAATTAGTAAGATTTGCTGTTTTCACAGCGGTGATTATGAGGATTTCTGTCTTCTGGGTTGTTGCGCTGTGTAGTATGGTCGATGTTAACCAACGTTTCAGAGGTCATACTGCCTCCGTCATCAGGGCGATGAGTATGAAGATTTCCGTCTTCTGGGTTGTTGCGCTGTGTAGTCTGGTCGATGTTTACCAACGTTTCAGAGGTCATACTGCCTCCGTCATCAGGGCGCACAGCACAACAACGCAGAAGACAGAAATCTTCATAAAATAATTTGTTATTCTCACAAATTATGTGATAAAATTGGCAAAGTTTTATGAATTAGACGGTCGAAAATTGCAGGACCAAAGGTAGTGAGAATAAAACCAAGAAGAAGAAGGGCTAATTTTTGTACCTAACCAGGAAAACCAAATTTCAGAACAGGCAGAGTCTTTATTTTGCCAGACGACCAGAATCCTCACCATGTAGCTTCAGCAAGTAGGTCGACTTTTTCTAAATATGCGTACATTATATAAATAATAACCATTTCTGTATGTTTCTTTATTTATTTTCCAAGTCATTCATGAGCGACCGTTTGTGGCGTCTTCCTCGTAACTATTAACTTAATGTAATGTATACAATGCGTCCTGTTCCGAGAACGGAGCCCTCCCCATGTAGGGCATCCACGTGTGTACCTTGGCCCTTTGAGTACAACTTTTGTTTTATATTCGTGTGAGGCCTAGTTACGTCATTTGTCATTTGAAGATGCGAAACGTTATTTATCGGCCAGTCCTATGTACCAGTAAGTTACAAATTACTTCATACAGAACATTTCTGAATTTCAATAAATCCAAATGCTTATTTTCCGGACCTTGTATGTAATAACAGGTCTATAGACAACGAATGTAAACGAATATTATTTTAACGACTCATGTTTTGAAAATACTCATAAGTTCGTCTTATTTTATGTTTGAAAGGACAAATTTATTTTAGGTGAAGGAATTATTACAGCCAGACTTTTGGAGACTTTACTTTCACCTGTATTTTAATTACGTCCTTCCTCAACAATTTTCTCTTTAATTGAAGACGACTAAGGAAGTCTGTTACAAGTCTGAGCCAAGTCGAAAACCGAAACTTTACATGAATAACGTCTGAACCGTGAACGTGTACCAATTTTTTCATACGAACCGTTTCAAACCAGTCCACCACAGTTGGTCCAACGAGCTTAATTTAACGTTGTCGACATATTATCACGCCTCTCTTTTGCATGAATTTCATATGCATAGTCTCTGTGCATTGTCGTGTGAATACTGTTGTGGGCAACAATTATCTTGCCGTGGGGAGAGTTCGGTCATCTATCGGCAATGCGTCGAAATGAAACAGTACTGTCCTAGTCAGGACGGACGTAGAACAGACTAAATAGTTTGTAGCTGTCATGGTATCGGTTGACTGCGACACTGATGAATCATTATCGTGACTGCAGAGTGTTTAAAACGTTGTGCTGGACTGCAGACATCGGCTGATTTTCTGCCTTAATGAGTGTCAGTTTGTCAAATAATTTGTTTGCCGATTGTAACCAAGTAACTTCTAGGCCTACTAAAGGCAGAGTGTAAGACATATTCTTGTTACATTATTCTTCTAATATTTTGGAAAATGGTTTCAAATTTTGCACCTACACAAGCCTCAGAGTCGAAAAAGTAACTCATATCTCGTAGGCAAATCATTCAGTCTTAGCAAGTACATTTTTTAAAAATTAAGTTTACGAAAATTCGCAAGCGGTGGGGATATTAACCATCAAATTGTAAACTAAAATAGTTAATATTTTAATAGTTATATAGTCAATTTCACTAGTTGCGGAATAACAATACGCTGATCACGCAGCCAAATTTCAAATTAATATGATGCCTGTAAGAACTTCCATTTGGTACAATTTATAAAATTAAATAAGACAACTGGAAAGAAAACGCCGAAATTTGGCATGGTTTTGCTTTTAAAATGGCTAACATGCCCACCTTTTAGCACTAACTTCGAAACGGGAATCTTATCACTGTAGTCTGCGTGTCAAGAACTGCAGTGTTATTTTTTTTTTTGTTCTGTGGCCACCCGTGCACATGTTTCAACTCAGGAAATGCCGGACTGAACCTGATAAAACACTGTGACATATTTCGTTTTCATTCGTTCTCACACAAGGTGCACGAAGCGAACGCTACTCTGAAGTGGTTGCAGCTACCCCACTATTTGAAGTTCCTCCTCAACCTATGCGTACCTTCATAATCATATCACCCCCTTCAGAGTGCGATAATAGTGCAAACTAGTTGTGTGGCAGCGTCGCCTGGCTAAGTACGTGGTGTACGAACACTCCACGTAAACACAGACGGAATATCAATTTTCGTCTTTGTGGGTTGAGATATCGTGTTATCTTAAGGTAGGTACCTACGTTTCGGACATGTTCATATGGCCTTCATCACCAAGGCTTAATTGAAATAAGCCAGAATCTGCGTAGAGTTACCTTCTTATAGAGGTCAACTATAACAAATTTGAGGTAATCTCGGTACGAAGGTGTCGTTTGTGGTTTTTTGGTTTATGACGCCATATAGTCTTGAGGGTGTTTAACAAAAATTCGGAAGAACTCATCGCGATTAATTTTAACACTTATTTCAGCGACATATAAAGTATGACGAAATTTTGGAACATCTGGGGCCAAGAATGAGACACTCTAAAATGCATAATGCTGCTCCTGAAGTACCTGCTGAAGTGGAAACGTTTTTCTCAAATAAAGGGTTTATTTTATCCCGACTGAGTTTCGGTATGAATGAGGATATTCTGTTCTACAAGACGTTATAATTACGCCATGTTACAAAATGTCTGATACAGGACAGTTAAAGGAACTACAAAACCAAGTAATTAACGTTTAGGTTTATATGTGTTATTGAAGCATTTCTCTGAAAATATGTTCTGCACTTTTATTAACGTTTAACATTTTTGTAAAAATAAACAAAATTTAATTGATGTGGATTTTTAACATTCTTTGTCGAAACAAGAGTGCAATCTGCTACTAATATTCGATAGGAGGTCGTTCTTCAGTAATTTTACTAGGATACGCTGTATATGCATTGCTAAACCGTGCATTTTGTATTGATTTTTTCTGTTACAAATTTATGCTAGGATCGGGTGGGAGGGTACGGAATGGATTAATTTGATTCAGTATAGAGAACAATGCAGAGCCCTTGTGAGATGAGAAAAGCGTGCAAAATTTTGATTAAAAAGTCTGGAGGAAAGACACAATTCTGAAGATATAGGTGTATGTAGAAAGATAATATTAAAATCGGCCTTACGAACATACGGTTTGTGGGTGAGAATTGGAGGCGACATATTTGTTAGTTAGCTAGGTAAACTATTAGCTTCTTATAGACTCAACTCAATATATTTAATTATTTTCACAGTATACTGTTTAATATTATTAAGATAAATTTAAACTTGTTAAACTATAAAAGAATTTACGTTTGCACATACCGAATGTTCCGTAAGCAGTGTAAATGTAGTCTACTTCAAACAAGCCAACATGCACTAGCTCATTTATTCATTCCTCCATACTTAAATATTGTAAGCTGAAATAAAAATTACGACTCTGTTGTTTTATCTAACAGACTGACGTAGAGAACTAACTTCATTAAAGCAAGCCGTACGTCTGAAGGTAATAGTTGCTCAGCTGATCAAGAGCGTCTCTGCTTTTGGTGAAAGCCGACGTTTTCATTGCCGTGATTACAAGCACTAGTTCAGTACACATCCTCAGTCTTTTACATCTACGTTTTGATATCCTAAGTGCTATTCTCCTTCCCAAAAATTTTACGATCAAAATTCTGAGTGCATTTTTTATTTTTCCCATACGTGCTTCATGATCCGTCGGTCATCCTAGTAATAAGACCTCGTGGTAAATAGTAGGCCTGCAAATTATGAAACTCCTCATCATAGGCTGCAGTCACATCCTACCTCCTGCTATTTCCTCTCTCTTAGGTCCAGACTCTCTTCAGCTTCCTGTCCAACCCTTAATGCGAGAGATAAAGTCGTATCTAAGAGAATAAATGTTATCTTTACGTTATGTTTGTTAAAATTCCTATGTATTATAAGTAAGCAGAAGACGAAAAACAACCAAAAGAGAAAATAAAGGACATTTGGGAGAACCAGCTTTATAGGATTACTAATTCTCAAACGAGGCACAAGAGGGTTCAACTCTGAAGTGAAGCCGCAAGCTAAGAACGCAGTCATCAATCAATACCGTCTGAATTGCAGATATAAATATTTAATGGCGGGTTTCATGAATATTAAAATCTACCTTCCGCATCAGGACTATGGCCTGTGTTCAAGGGAAGAACGGGTTATAACTTACTGCAATGAAGCTTCTAATCGCCACCGTATGATAATGCAGCTTACGCCTTTATCCAGAGAAGGAAAAAAATTAAATTTCGGCCTCATATCAAATGCTCATGTAAGGTTAGTTTGGATCAGAAACTGCAGTAGTAAATATGCGTGCAACTTTGTTAAAATTTAATTTATTAATACAGGAGCTTGGGCCTGAAACCAGTAAATAAACAAAAGACAAAATATTAAGATCTTTCATAGGTGGGATCCGTATTGTATTAAGCATCTATAAATTTTATGAATGCAAAATTCGTTTGCTTAAATCATAAATTCTGGCAGGCCTATGGTTTAAATGCCTTGACAGAGATATTCAATACAACCCATCTCCGATTTTATAAATTATCTGCTACCAAATAGCCCCCTTTTACTGATAGTATTTTCCATTAAGGGAAACAATTAATTCTTACTGCACCTTACACATTACTAAATACATCTACTTATTTCAAACAATAATTTGTAATATGCGATTACTAGAAAAATTGTCAAGAATGAGAGGAAAATCGTATTTAAAACACAATTTTTTAATGTAAGAAATCAGCATAAAAGCATTAAAGTTATTATTTATCTATGCTTACAAAAATTTCGAAGCGTTAAAACACAACGTCTGTTTTGAGGTCTTGATAGAAGTACATGTACATACCCGATAGTGTTTTGTTTCAGTATATTGTCTCCATAAAGCAGTATATAAAATACTAAAATTAAATATTATTTTATTAACAAAATAAAATAATTGCCTAATTAGGGAATATAACACAATTTAATGTACTGTCATCTTATACTGAATTATTACTCTTTGGATTTAATAGGAAAAGTTCTGCGTAATATGAAAATGCATGTACTTAGTGGACCAAGGATGAATTATTACATAGTCACAAATATTATCCCACAATACCCAAATCTCTTAATAGCATTACCACAGCAACACATTCATAGATGTTATACATAAAATTCCTTAACAGCAAATGATAACCAAGAAACCAACCAACCCGTACGTCCTCATTATATAGATGGACAGGCTGCATTCTGTACAAAGAATAACGCTTATTTTAATTGTGGTTTCTATTATTTAACACTGTTACGGCAAAAGGGCATCGAATGTCAGTCCGACTACCGCGATTGCAGACTCTTCTTGAATGGTCTTTACACAATTTACGTTCTCTCGGTCGGGGTAAAGCTGATAGGTCAGTAACATAAATTTGGTGAATAAACTTCACTTTGAGTAAAAGTGATAGGAAAATAATAGGTCTGCCGAAGTTGTTACTGAGAAAATACTCGAACTGGCCAGAGGCGGATGTTAATATCAGCGGTGTTGGAACTTCGAGTTCTGTTTCCACACATTTAATTAATCTTTATCGTCATCTATACCAAGGCTATTAGGCTTGTTCTGACCTCATTAACGCTAATATTGTTGCAGGTATTTTGTGTCTGGGTAGTAGACATTTCTTCTTATAGATCCATCATTGCTTATTTACTTAATTAGATACTCGCACGTATTTGTTTGTCTTCATTAATGTTTAGATATTTCCCGTTTCAGTTGTTCATGTTATATAGGACAATAAGTGAATAATTTGAAATGCTGTGAAAGGAAGCGGTCAAGACCTACATTAGGGTACTGGAGGTACTGAGAAAAACACGATAACCCGATTAAGATAGCAGACTACGTGCCGATATTTAAAACTGGAACTTGCCGAATACAAATTAGATGTGCTAACCGTATGACTGCTATGTGCGCATTTATGTAACCTATAGTCCACACGTATCTCCCATTAATTTAATCTGCTCCAACAAATACTGATAATTTTTGTATCATTTGCACCAATTCTGAAAATAAAAAAATTCTCATTTACAGGCCACGTAGGCTTCGCTACTTACTGATATGTCGACCTCTGCCTTTGTCTTCCATTCTCACTTATTACGACTGTAAACTTCGTTTCCAACTACAATAATTGGGAGAATATTCTGAATTAAGATTTTAAGTTTATTACCAATTTAGAGCTAACTTTAAATTTGTAATTAGTTTTCATAATAAATTGTTTTACCTTTCTAAGCAGTCGATTATATAAGTTGCTGAATGTAAGCGGTACTGGTTAATACTGGTTAATATCGCTTCATAATAGATTGGGTAAATAATTCTGAAGTCTACTGCAATAATTTCGGAATAGCCTGTCGTTCAAAATTCAGAAAAACTGATTGAACTAAATATCACCATTTCCACAGGCCCTAATATAAGCGCTGGCATATTACATAGGCCTATTACCGGCTAATGGTTTGAGCCATAAAGAAAAATTGAGTTTAGAAATGGGACGAAAATTTTAAATATTCTATAAAATATTTCCTTAAGACATCCTTTCACATTATTTGACAATTCGTGGCCTCTGCAGTTGACACAGTGCATTTGAATGACATGATTAATTACAACAAAATACTAAGTTGCGTTTTACTACGTTAATGTAAGTTATCCTATCACAACCGTTTTCAGTATAACAAATTACTGATTAAATGGATACACATAGGGACTTGACAAATACAGAATGTGTTTTTTTTAATTTTGTGAAATTTCAGGTTTTGTCTATGGAGAATATCAATATGGCAGCCTTCTGGGATACTGTGTCGTATAACCTCTTAGACGTTACCCGGCGTTTCAAAGGTGCGCACTGTGTCCATCATCAGGGGATCGTTCTGTTGATGAAGGCACTATGCTCCTCCGACACGTCCGTCAAGTTCTACGAGAGTACAAGGCGCAGTAACCCAGAAGGCTGTAATTTTCTTTTTCTAAGTTTACTTGGGGACTCGCGGCGTCTATGTACAGTATTTGTAGGACTTCTCAATACATACACGCCAGAAGTTGGCTGAATTGAACATTTCTGCAATTTTATGGACGTCGTAAGGACTGGGTGGCAGGTTGGTGCCCCCTAGTAGCAGTTACTCCTTATGTTTAACACACACGCAAGTTAGGTGCACGGTCTCTGAATGTTGCGCATCGTCACGACAAAGAAAGGACTGCCA